AGTCCGGACTGGATAAGTCTCAGTTCAACAACATATGACATGGAGGAGGATGCCTTACTGAGAGAGATGTGTCGGGGTAAGTTTGAGGCGGTCTCCAGACTCGGGGTCCAGAGAAGGTGATGGAAGGGGATAAAGATGTGAAATCATCTAAGTCGAGCGCCGTCAGCTTGATATCTGAGATCTGAGGCTTGATTAAACCTGCTTGGATATTCCCGGTCAGTCAAGGTGCTAACTCTAGATATTGTTACGCTGAAGTACTAACACAAGTCTATCCAGACTTATCACGCGGACTTATCCAAGTACGCGGTGTAGCACACAGGGGAGAGAGTATCGCGCAAGTCCCTAGATTGAGGGATATGGGGATACAGGAGGTAACGAAGAGGAGAACAGAAGTGGGGAGCCTCTACCGACTACAGGCCTCCTTATATACTATGGGGTACCGACCGTATTAGGAAGGGAAAGGTAACTGACCAAAGTGGGGAGGTATGAGGAGACTGTAAAGGAACGCGTCTGGTCGAGGCTGGGCCCAGTATAGTACACGACCTAGGTCAGGGTCCTATGATATAACTGAAAGGGGATAGAGGCGGGACAGGGTCCTAAGTCTAGGTCAGGGTCAGGTAATGTAACCGAAAAGGGAAAGGGGCGCGACAAGGGTCGGGGTCTGGGTCAGGGTAAAGTAAAGTAACCGAAAAGGGAAAAGGTCAGGGTCGGACTCAGGGTCCGGTCATATAGACGAAAGGGGGAATATTAAGGGAGAGGGCCGGGGCTAGGAACGTAGTTGTCAAGGGGCGGAACGGGGGATGATAGTGTACAGGCGGACAACGAGGGAACGGGAAGGTAAGCATAGGTCGCCGGGGACGGGAAGGGGAGTGGAGTGTACACGAGGGCGACAAGAAGGAGTAGTCCAATAACAAAAAGATAGGGGGTGGGGCGTACCAACGGTAACAGATATAGACCAAGATACTCACAACTAATAAACTACATATTGACTCACAGTTCGAGTAGACTATAGTAGGCCATTTCATCAAGACGATTTGCAGTTTCTTCAGGATACGAGGGTGTGTCGGAGTTGAAATACCAACTACATATTATAAGTTCGCCTATTTATGTCGATTTGCATCTAACCAGGCATTTGACCCGATTTGCCGTTCACACCCTTCAACTAGCTGGTACTGGCTAGTACTTGCTCGCATACACGCGCTTGAACCAGCAGGTCCTTAAACGCGGTGAATGGTACAGTCATCCCCCATCTAGTGGGTCACCCCCAGCCAATGGGTCACCTTCCGTATAAGGTGAATTTCTGGTGCTTGGTCAACAACTAGACGCCCGTTTGAGCGAGTACCTCTGGGTCGCCTTCACGACGGGCATTGGCCAATGTTCCGGACCCAAACTGGGACAGAGAAATGGCCTGGGAATGGATGCCTGTCACAGGTCATGTCCCAAAGCCCAGCTCTGGACCCGAGCCAGTGGGCGCTCTGATACCATAAAGAGGATATCGGCGCTCGAAACCGTGTATATACGCTTATGTCATTGGCTTTGTCAGCCTCAGTATTTCCCTTTAGGTGTTTAAGCGCCGGATGGCTCAGGTCCGGAGCTAGGCTTTGGGACATGACCTGTGACAGGCATCCATTCCCAGGCCATTTCTCTGTCCCAGTTTGGGTCCGGGACATTGGCCAATGCCCGTCGTGCTTGGATCGCCCACCTTCATATGAGCGCCTGTTTGCCTTGATAGGCAGGTGACCCATTGGATGGGGGTGACCCATTGGCTGGGGGATGACTGTAAAGGGATGGCGAAATCTCACAAATATTCATCTGTTGTGACCAGTCCATGCCGTATCCACTGCTAGGTCTGGCCAGAGCTTGCCATACACCCACTGAAATCCGGCAATACGACACCATATGGCAAGCAGTCTCCGGTCTTCCGTGCTTTCTAAGATATCCTCACTTCTCGTTAGGGGGATGAGAAACCATATTTAATTCTTTACTGCTAAGTACATAGAGGAATCACGTATATTTTTGTAAATAGGATAGAGCCTCGACATCTGAATTTGGTTCCGAGTAAGGGAGTCAATCATAACAGCGTGAAGCTACAACCTCAGCACGTCCGGAACTTACGACGGCATGTGAAGAGATATCACGCCACATATGAAGGCGACATACCCTTGTGAGCGAGTGGGAAGAATGGCTGCGAGACTCCACGACGCCAACGCGCGTAGAAATGCGCACCTACCTTGCTACCAAAGAACCTCACTAATACCTCTCAGCTTGCGTGTATGACTTACCATAGAGCGCTGCTTCACGGTGCAACAATGTGGTCGGAAAGACGTAACTTACAGGGGAATATGCCATAGGCACCCGTAGTGTGCATGCCGAGGGGTTATTGCGGCGACGTCTGCCTAAGATATGCTGTTTCAACCTTCATCACCACAGACACCAGCAGGCTCAAGGCGATCCCAGTCCCAGGAAGAGAAAAGTTGTTGGAATCCTGGCGTCAAGATGGCGAGCTCGCGGAACGAGCGCCACAGGTCCCGCCCCCCGACGGATATCCGCGCCCTTATCTACCCCTATTCTACTGTGTATATAAGGTCTATTGTATGTACTACGTACGGCACGCGTTTGCACCGGCCAAATGCGAATCCCATTTGTGCCCGCTTGCCCTCGAACTTCTACACAAACGCGTCTCCTCTGCCCGAAGGATAATTCGAGGCACTGCCTAGTGGGGCCGAAGCCACTCGACGATCCCGCGAACTGACGACCCGTGACGATGACCGACCCGACGACGACGACTGACCCGACGACGACGACCGACCCGACGACGACGACCGACCCGACGACGACGACCGACCCGACGACGACCCCGTGCACCCCGACGACCCCGTAACCGTGACCGCCCCGCGCTCCCCGCTGCTCCCGCCCCGATGGCACCGCCCACAATTGTGAAGCTCGCCGACGACAACTACGCCGAATGGGTTATCGGCATGGAGGCCCTCCTTGTTCGCAAGGGTCTCTGGGAGGTTACGAGCACCCCTGCTGATGAAACCCGCCCCTCCGGCTCTGATAACACAAAGGCTGTGCGTGCCTGGCATGCGAAGATCGCAGAAGCGCGTGCCGAGATCATCTTGAATATCGAGCCCACCCAGTATGTCGCGGCGACTAGGCGCGTAGACTCGGGTCGACGTTCGGCGACGACCCCGTAGGCGAGCGGCGAGGAGCCGAAAGGGGAGAAGAGAGGGTGAGAGGGATAAACGTATCAGAAAACTCGACGGGGCAGAGCGGCGGTCGGCACGAAGGCACAAGACCGACGAAAGCTAGTCTTCACGCAAGCAGCGACAGACTAGTCCCAATGACCAAGTTATACATTAGCAATCGAAGAGAGATACAACGCTATGGTCACTCACCTAGTCCCAATGACCAAGAGGTCGAGATGGGGACTAGGGAG